AAAAAATGGAGTTTACTTTTGGGACAACCTAATATTTTACTTGTACGGCTTGGGCCAACGGAATTATCGTTTCTCAGATTGCTGCGCCACTTTCAACCATCATCAACTGGGAAAGGGAAGCCGAGCAGTGGTGTCCTGAGTTTTACATCGTCACATATGTAGGCGATCGTGACTCACGTATGGTCATCCGAGAACATGAATTTTCTTTCGTTGAAGGAGCTGTGAAGGTTTGTGTGAAGTAACAAGTCGTCGAGGTAAGAGCTGTAAATGTTATTTTCAGGGAGGTCCGAAAGCTTCGCGTATGCGGTCACAGGAGAACATGAAATTCCATGTGCTTCTGACTTCTTACGAATGTATCAATATGGATAAGGTTTGTTTCTGCTTTGCATCGATATGGCTAAACCTGAAACCTCTTTCTAGGCAATTCTATCTTCGATTGAGTGGGAAGCGTTGGTGGTTGATGAAGCTCATCGTTTGAAAAACAATCAGTCGACATTCTTCAAAAATCTCCGGTTAGTTGATAGAAGGCTTAGAAAGTGTTTTGAAGTGCATTCATTTCTGCAGTGAGTACAACATCAACTATCGCGTCCTTCTCACTGGAACACCTCTTCAAAACAATCTCGAGGAATTGTTCCACTTGTTGAACTTCCTTGCTCCGGATCGCTTCTAGTAAGTGCTTTCGTGCAAAGACAATCTTCCGCAGATATGCATCGGCTTTGTTTTCAGTGACCTGGAATCGTTCACACTTGAGTTCGCCGAAATCTCAAAGGAAGACCAGATCCAGAAGTTGCACTCTCTTCTTGGTCCCCATATGTTGCGTCGTCTCAAAGCTGATGTGTTGACTGGAATGCCTTCCAAGAGTGAACTGATTGTTCGAGTAGAACTTAGTTCTTTGCAGAAGTAAGTTCTTTTTCTGTGATAATATGCTATGCTCATAAAATATTATTCAGAAAATACTACAAAAATATCCTTACACGCAACTTCGATGCTTTGAATGTCAAGAACGGTGGCTCGCAAATGTCGCTGATCAACATCATTATGGAACTGAAGAAGTGTTGTAATCACCCTTACCTATTTCTCAAAGCTAGTCTAGAAGCTCCAAAGCTGAAGAATGGAATGTACGTTTGCTCTTTTTATCACTTTGCTCAGTTGATATCACCTCACCTTTCAGGTATGAAGGAAGTCAGCTTATCAAAAATGCAGGAAAATTTGTTTTGCTGCAAAAAATGATGCGAAAATTGAAGGAGACCGGGCATCGTGTCCTGATTTTCTCTCAAATGACCATGTAAGAGTCAGCTCCATTTTTCCCACGGTCCTGAAATTTTTTCCCAAATTTAGGATGCTGGATATCTTGGAAGATTTTTGTGAAGTAGAAGGATATAAGTACGAAAGAATTGATGGTTCGATCACAGGACAAGCAAGACAGGATG